ATAGACCCTTGGCTTGGAAGTGTGAAGAAAGAGCAGGATTTGTATATTATGTTTGATGTTTTTCGCAGTAAGATGGTGTCGTATTTTCAAGAGGAGGGTGTATATGATTTATTAGGGATCACTGATGTCAAGGTTGGCAAGAGGGGTGTGGATCTAGCAGAGCTAAGGGGCATCTTCGGGACTGATGTGGTGGACAAGTCGTTGAAGTTGTGGAATATTATCATCAGCAAGATTCTATACCCTCCGATCCAGAACTTGATCATGGCATGTGAGAGTCCCCAGCAAGGGTGGAAGATCGTCACGAATATCTACCAAGAGAAGAAGGAGTCTGAGAAGACTAGGCTTGAGCAAAAGTGGTTGGCGTTAGAAATGCGCGAGTCGGAGAACCCACAGGATTACATGGCAAGGTCGGAAGCTCTTCAATTACGTCTTGCCTCAGTAGGAACTATCAAAGACACAACACATGCTTACAAGGACGTTGTGCGCGCCCTTCCCCCATCGTTTGCCGTGCAAAAAGGAATATTGCTAGCAAGCGATGTCGTGACTTTGCATGCCCTTGAGACTGTGGTGAGGGACGCCCACATGGAGATGGAGCGCGAGAGGAGCAAGGAGCAGAGGCGCGAGGCGGAGCTCGCCCTCGTCGCGTCCGGTGCGAGCCGGAGCGGCGGGGGCAATGGGGGGGCATCCGGGGGACAAGGAGTAGCCGACGGTCAAGACCGTGAAATCCGTGATGGCGAGAGAAACCGTGACGTGTTCGTCGAAGATCCCACCGGTTTTTGCCGCTACCACCAGTCCGAACTACACACGAACGGGCAATGCCGTTACCAGCAGCATCTGCGGCGGACTCGCACGAGAGCAGCCGCCGAGGATCGCCACGGAGGTGGCGGCGGAGGCCGTGGCGGCGGCTGGAGCCAGCGAGGAGGAAGACCGCCGTCGGGAGCCGGCCGGGGTGGCGGGCGTTGGGTGAGAGTTGAAGGGCAGCAGCACCACACCGGTCATGGTGGCGGTGGCTGGAGCCAAGCCTCACCCCCCCCGCGACCTCTTCGTGGACGTGGGCCTGGTGGTCGTCTGGGGCGGCACCCGGGGGGTCGAGGGCCCTCGGGACGCCACGGCAGCAATGGTCGTGCCGAGAGAGAGCGGGCAGGTAGAGGCCCGAGGCACGGGCGCTCCGGCCACGGGAGAGAGCAGGCGTACGTAGTGTACTACGCCCACGACGACGGCGGCTACTACGAGGATCACGGCGACTACGACGACGGCTACTACTGCGACGATGGCTACCACGACTCGGGGTACGCCCACTACGTCGAAGCGGGCACCGGAGACAGCTACAGCTACTCTGAGGGGTATGA